GTGGTTGAAAAAAATCTGAAAAAATTCATACATAGGTTTTTTTGGCCGCTGAGTCTGAATCCGGTGTCGGTTGACCTCTATTACCTCATATTCAAGATCGTTTGAAGGTTCAAGTAAGGATAGAAGGTGAAAAAATTTGGGACATTTTTTTTGGAATGCTCACGCTGTTTATCTGTCTGTTCATCTACCTGCCATTCTGCCTTTATACCTGCCTTTCTATCGGTTAACCTCTACCTTCAAATGACCTTGAACTTAACGTGATAGAGCTTAACCGACCTTGGCATCGGAATCAGCGGCCACAAAAACCCTTGGGTCCCTAGGTAGAGTCCGGTGTTTTTATTTCAAACTAAATAATAATTTTTAATTTTACTGAAATTTAATGGCCAACATGAGGAAATAAAATTATTGTTCCGAACAAAATTACTGGTTATGTGGCTTGTAATCATTTATGAAACCTCTGTATCTCCGCTACTGATGTACGCATGTATACAGTGTGACCAATTTCAAATGGAAACACCTTTGTAAAAAAAATACTGACCAACTTATATTAGGATTATTTTTGAAAGGTAGAGTTTAAAAAATTCTATTGCATCTATAAACATGTGAATCCATTTGTGACTACTACAAATCAAAGGATATATTTTTCATGAAATATGGTACAAACCATAGACAAAATAGACTGAACTGTAAAGGCAAGCCGGTGAAGCCAACCGTCAGCCCAACCTCAGCCCAGCCAGCCTCGCGCTCTCAAGTCGTTGTTAGACATTCGAGGTGTTAACATCGTTAGTATTTTATTAAACATATTGTTTTTATTTGTGGGGCAGTGTATCGTTGACGATTGTAATAGCAGATCTGATCACAATAGTGCTGAAATTTCATTCTTTAGGTAAGTAATAACATAAACATATTTTATACCATTTCGACGGCTTCGCGCAGCATTCTCTATCTCACATGCATTTATTTCCAGTGTTGGCTTCATATTTTTTAGTGTCACGTTATTAACTGATGTAAATATACAGGCTCATATTATCAACCGGTTATTTACAATTAGTTTTTTTGTCACAATTGGTGTTTATTTTCATGATGGCTATTAAAAATAATTATAAATATTGAACCCTCAAAATATAATTTCAATAATAAACATACATTGATATTAAATTACAGGTAATTAGTTACTGAATAAAATTGTATTAGATACCCATTTTATTCTCAGGTTTTCTAAAGAGGGTGGAAATGAAATTGGAAAGGATCAAAGCCATTAAAAAAAAAGATTGGGCGCTCTCAAAATCGTCTGTTATATGTTCTTTACATTTTCAAGTTTATTATTATTAATAAAAACGGCGCTAGAAATTTATCCAAAAATGCAGTGCCAATTTTAAACTTGCCAAGAGTGATAAGCAAACTGTCGTTTAAAAAAGAAAAATGACAATTTAAGAAATAGAAATAATAATATATTTTTTTAATAACTCCTATAAAAACAGTACATCCAAGCTACAGAAAAATAAAATTGTGTATCATGTAATAAAAAGCTTTTTTAATGTGAATTTATTTTAAAAAATATGGATAAGAAGGACTGTACGTGAAAAGTATATGAAGTTAAAATATTTAAATCAGTGAAATCTACTAAAAGACAAATATTAAATAAACTAACATTACTTAGAGGACAATAAATATATTTAAATTATTTTGTAGATTTATTTAAACAAAATATTAAAATATATTATTTTCTGAATTCCAAACTTGAAAAATGAATATTTGTCATAAGTGTAAAAATACTGTTTAATCCGGACCTGATCAAAGTATGCGCGGTCAGATTACCTCACACACTCCACTTCCCCGCAATTTGGCTTCATCGGTTCCCATGCTTTGGGATAGGAAACGTACGCTCTAGGTGCTCTGTGGGTACAAAGCATGTTTAGGAGGTGCAGGATCCAGTGGCGTAGTCAGATATTAAATATTCAAAAAATTCGCTAACCAATTTTTGTCTAATTTGTCACAAAAGAAATTAAGATAGGCTTTGATAACTGAAAATAAATTCAAATTATATCTTATTTAATGGACTTTTATAAGCTCTATCTTTAAAAAAAAACGAATATTAAATCGATCATTAAATATTTATTTTATAAAGATGTTTCCATTTGAAAAGGGTCATTTTAATTAAATAAATAATTGCTTATTACTCCATTTTTTATCATTCTAAATTGAAGTTTTTAAAAATGCGAATATTTTCAAATTTCAACATCTTATATCTCGTAAGTGGAGCATAATTAGAGTTGACACTTTTTATTTTTATTTTTTTAAGGAATCAGACTGAATTTTTTCGCAATAGCTATTAATGGATATCCCTACATTTTAGACAAATTTCTAACCTTAAACGTCATTGTTTTCAGTTTAATATAACCAGAAATTAAGTTTATTACAACAATCATTTTCGTGTAAGGGAAACAGAGCTGGGCAAAATATTTTCAAAATGTATTTAAAATACAAATTACAAAACACTAGTACGAAAGTGTTTTAAAATACTTTACTTCTTTGGCAAAGTATTTTAAATATAAATTACTTAGTATTTAAAATAATCCCACTAAACACGAAACGTAAATGAAACGTTGCAAATGAGATGTTTTACTAAACATTTGAAACATTAACTAGAAACGTTTCTGTTTCATTACAGAAATGTAGCACTTGAAAACTTATTTAGTGAAACATAGCCGAAACGTTACAATTGAAGAGAGTTTGAAACATTACTCGAAACATTCCCTTTCGATCTCGGAAACATAACAGACGAACAACCCTTTGCTATTTTTGCTTATCTTATGGAACTATCGGCATTAGTTAAATTTTGCTCTCAATCCCCAATCCTTCTCAAGCGTTAGTTCATTTGCCTTTGTTTATATAAAGAGATAATTAGAAAAAAAAATGTGGTAGCATATTTATAACACAAGTCTAGAAAAAATGTATGTTCGTGACTTGCGTAGACTGCGCGTAACAGCCCGAGTTTATTTGTTTCCCGTGTGTCGTTTCAATTCGTATTATGTTATTATGTTAGGTTAGGTGTGCGGTTTGTCAGTTTGCTTGGTTTCGTTGTTATTCATCTTTACTTTGACGCTATTTTATGTGATAATTTGTAGTGTGTGCAGTTGTGGTTATTGTAAGGTGCATATAAAATAGTGAATATTGATGCAAAATGTTTAAAACGATATGTGTAGAGATTTCCAATTTTGCGTCTCATCTACCTAAATATAGTTATACCCACTACCTATTACAGACAAGAAGGGACAAGAACTAAGAAAATGGAACAACAACTATACGTTTCGATATAATTTGAAGAGCAACTACTTAGTCAGTGAGAACTATTTGAAATATGGATGAATCAAGTGAATTTTTTTATTTTATATTTTGTACAAATGTTTATATTTGTTTATGTGTATAGGCATGCTTAAATAAAAGAGTTTAGGTATACCTACAGATATTTACTTTGACAAGATATCATTTTGTATCCTTATTTCTGCTGTATAATTTATTATTATTATTATTAAAAGGATATATGTAATATTGACCATGCGTAGAAGAAATCATAACTTTATATTATTTACCTACGACCACTACTGTAAATACTTAAAAAGTTGTGCGTTTTTTTTACCGTACGACGTAATAGGAATCTTGCATTGATCGCAGACGGTGTGTTTTTAAGTATTTAAAGTAGTGGTCGTAGGTAAAGTATAGTACATAATACGTGGTGTAATGCAATTACGCACTCATAGAATTACGCACTCGCCGCTACGCGGCGACGTGCGTAACTTTTCCATTGGTGCGTAAAATGCTTTTTACAACACTTATTACGTAATATACTATTTTCAGTAATGTTATTTGTTTTTCATGTACCTACCATTTCAAGATTCATAATCATAACTAACTTTTTCTAATTATCAGTTCGTCATTGTTACCATATTCATGATGGTCTCAACATTAGAAAATTTCCATTTCAGAAGCGTATTTGAACAATATAAAATGTGTAGTTTTTTTTAATGCTTCTGATATTGTTTTGTGATATTTTTATTTGTACGATGAATGGCAAAATTCGTAATCCATATTAGAAACTTTTTTCAGTGGCTTCTCAAAAAGAAAGAAATTCTTAGTAAAAGTTGCCGCATCCCCAAACTAGAAGAGCATATTTATTTTTTTTAATATACAATGTAACTTTTTTTAGTTCGAATTAAGTCATTCACAATACAAATAAAAATATCACAAAGGAGTATTAGAGATATTTAAAAAAATACTCACACTATTTATACTATTTCAAAAACGCTTTTGAAATGAAAATGATCTAAAGTTGAGAGCATTATGAGAACAATATGGTAATAAAATTATTATGTTACTCAAACATTTCTGAAAATATACTGAAACGTAAAACAAAAATATCGAGGGCATAAATGGAACATAAAAAGAATGTTACTGAAACCAATTATTTGAAACGTTTCATTGGAAACGTATTTTGGGGAGGACATCTTGGGCTTCTAGAACGTTACCAGAAGGTTGCATGGATTTTTTATGGAACGTTTCAAGAAAAATGGAAACGTTTCTGAAACATGTCAGAAACTGAAAAATGTTTAGTGGGATATATTAAGCATGTTGACTATTAAATATATTGAAAATATTCATTAACAGTATTTAAAACATTTTTGTGAAATATTAAATTAATTAAAACAAAAGCATTTTAATTACAAAATACTATTTTCTAATTAAAATACTATTTGGTATTTTTTTGTCAAAATACTACCAGTTCTAAAGGGAAACATATATTTTAATTTTAAGTAGGTACTAATACGTGTTTGTTTGATTGAAAAAAAAAATCAAAACAAAATTACAGACTTCTTAAAAACCTGGGATTATAAAAACAACAAATTCAATTAAAACAGCAAAGCGTGCGCGGTGAGAAACATAGATTCAACTGTTGGAAAATTCGATTGTTTCTCGAAAATCGATACAGAAATCGTACTTACCATCGATTTCCACCTGCCATCCCCCACGACGTCGTCCGCCGGTTCGGGAATCACACACGGGTTCATGTCTGTACGAGCGAGAAGTAAACAAACCCACGAAAAACAATCGACGAAACCTGTCGCGATAAGCTCGGCCTACTAATGACGTTCCCCAATTTCCTGCCTCTCACTATATTACTCCTGCTGGCGTCCCCTTGGTGCGGACCGGTTGCACTCATTCATAACATCTCCGATTTGTTGACGGTGGACGGGCGGCCAGTCGCGTGAGTTGGAAAAAAAAAGAAGCGATAACGACTAATGAGAGTCGTTTGTTGTGCTTACACGTACTCCTAGAGATAACGCACTGAACATCGGGGTTTGACGGTAGGATCATAGATGTCGCGGTAAATATTGAGACAGCAGGGATATTTGTTTAGCAACTGACGGGAAGCCGCAGCAAGGAAATAGATGTGTTCATCGGTTCATAGATGCCACTTAAGTCAGGGTATTAGCATAAAATATTCAAAAGTTAGGTTTCTATAAACAAAATGTACGTAAAATCGTGACTTATCTAGATTTCTATTAAAATGTTTCTACTGCTTTCCTAATAATTTTAATACACTGTTACTTTTACCTTTTACTACCGTTCAACAGATGGCGGTAAACATGAGTAAATATGAACGGCAGTGAACATTTTCAATTTTAAGTTGTTTTTATCAACTAAAAAGTCAAGTCATGTTTAAATGTTCGTGTTCATCTATACTTCAAATACTTCTCAGAATATTACGTAACAGATCAAAATATGATAAATGTAAAAAAATAGGTATGTCTATTCTCCTGTGATATTCATACGCTTTAGTATATTAATCAAAATTGGGCACAAATTTTAAAAATAAGACAATGAAATGTTTTTTTATATTCGGCGCTTCGTTCACGCTGATATCAAACTAATTGACTTTAAAATGACATGTCGTTGAACCATATAAAAACAATATGTTTTACCAAATCATTTTCAAGTTGTTGATAGTGCTGATAGTGTACAGATACGAATTACCACACTAATGAAGGTGGCCCGGTTTACGCTGCTCAATAACGACGAAAATAAGAATTATAGTATAGTTAAAAAAAATCATTATAAATTGACTATTTGTTTGGTTAGAAAAAAAATATCATATACGTATTCAGCGTAATACGTAAAATTATCCCAAAAAAAACTGTCCCTCACTTAAAATTATACCCTGTTATGGTAAAACTATGACGAAATCAAGTTATTTTTGAAATAATGATGATGAACGATTTCTTTTACGATTTCAGTTGTTTGTTGATGCATACTTGCATATATGTAATACTACTATATGTAGTGTATCCAATCTTTACCATGTTTCACTTGTGAAGCCAAATTAGAGTGAACTAGAACAATATCTATTGTCTCTTTCACGGACAAAATGCCAAATACGCATGCGCAGAATACCGCGGGAATTTTGTCCCAAACCGAATACAATAAATTTTAGGCTTTTTATATTCTTTATGTTACATATTTTATTTATAATAAATAAAATTAAAAAATGAATTCTCATGTTAGAATCAAATTTACCAAAATTGTAGATGCGTTTGTATTTCTTAGAGAAATAGAGCAACTTAAATTTTATCCATTTCTTTATATACACATTTAAATTTTGAAGCTACTTACCTTTTATTTTAAAAGTCACACGTTCTAAAGCATAAAACATCACAAACTATTTAAACAGAAATTTTAAAATGACAAATGAACAGAATCGCACCATAAATCACAATTAACAAATCTTAAAAACACAGTAGAAATGATAATGAAAAAGGATGTTTTAAAATATTTATTTCTTCTTAAAGTATTATTATTACAGATTACATTACATTAGAATTATTGATTTTTAAATAAAATTAACTTATTATATTTATTTCTAATATATTGGTCTTTCTGGGATTTAATATTAGCTTCGTGATACAATCGAATGTTAATAAAAATTTCAATTATAAGTTTTATTAATTGACAACGGTGATTGTCGAAAGGATCCTGGGATAATATGTGATGAATCATATCATCTGATGTAAATATTGTGTCGGTAACTTTATTATAGGTTTTAATAATTAATATCTGCTTTATATTCTTTATCTTAAAAATGTTATAAAGATTTTCTCTAATGGTTTTTTCTGTAAATCTGCAAATATTAATAACGTCTTCAGACGGAACAAGTAGTGGCCCTCTATTTTTAATGTTAATTAAAGATGGCGTTTCACCATCATTTTTTAATAACTGGTCTCTACAAAATTGACATATATTTCGTTTTAATATCTTACTAACAATAAATCCTGCTATATAACTAACAACGTTGTCAACATATGGACTCAGCTCCCACACAGTTTGAATATAGTCGTGGTCACCTACGTCCCCTATAATATTATCGAAATCAATAACAGACTCTTTTAATATTGTCCTTTTTGAGCTAATATGCAATATTTCGATTCCATCTGCCATACAATTTGCTCCTTCCGAAGATGAAATTTCATGTTTAATTAAAAGTCTTTTATATGCGCTTTCAAACTGTACAACATTCGGGTTATTATTAAATCCTCCTCGAGCCCTTATAGCACTGAAATAAGTTTCCAAAAAGTCTTGCGACAACTTGAAAGGGAGTAGGTAATCAATAGATACTTTATTAATTATCAATTCATCCCATAAATTGATTACATTTTTGAGACATATTAATAGTCCCAAAAATCCCGTTTTTCTCTGTGATTGTAAAATTGGTTTTCCTACACTGTCACGTATGTTACATATATATTCCTCAAATATTTTTACGTCTTGTACTAACTTATCATACGTTTCGTCACATAGAGGTTTACCAAATTCCTTTCGTGAAAATTTATTTTTACAATTTAATACATCAAATATATTGTTAAATATTAAACAGAAATTGGCTGTAGGCAAAGTTGCCTCAAACTTTGGAAAATTTAATTCATTACAAAATTTAAGTGCACTACTAACGCTTTGACTCAATGTTTGGACAGCTAACTTTACATTCATTCTATTGTCGTTATAGTTAATATGCTTTTTGGTTATTTTCGTAGCTGCACGTAAACCCTCACTGCACTGAATTTCATATAAACTTAAAATGTGTGCCCATTCTATTTTCTCCCCACCAACATATAAAGTTTTTTTGTCACCTAAAGTATTTCTTACGAGCTTAAACATGTGACAATAATCCCAAAATATAAACATTTTTTGTGATGTTACAGGATTTATAAACCATGGCTGAAAATCTTTGTTTCCATAATTAAAATTTGCCCCTAAACTAGTACACATTGACAAATTAACAGGTGCGCCATCAAAAGTTAAAGAATATACTTTGGCTCCTGTATCATGCAACATTTCTAAACAAATTTTTAATAAATTTGCCCTTTCCTCACCACTAAGACTGTCAATCAAAAAATAACCTAATGGTATTTTCCAGTGGTCGTTTAAAGACACAGCCATAAAAACTAAGGCATTCTTTGCCTCAGGTAAATTGTCACTCATAATTTGAGTATCGATACCAATATTTATATGTCCATAAAAAACCCCATCTTTATAAATTATTTGTCTGCGTATAGCCATTTCGTCAATGACAATATTACAAAGGACTTGTTTGACTTTATTCCTTTCTTCTATAACACGAAAGGATTCTTTAGTAAAACCAGGTTTACCGTCTACAACACTATACCATTTACGGAGTGTCGATGGATGAGGTAACCAGTTTTTCCATATTTTTCTAACGTAATTATAAGCTTTATTTGAGTAAAACTGTAACGTCAATGCAAACCTCCTTATTGTGGGAGAATATTGTTTTTTCTTCATACGATTATGACTATACAATTCTTTAATAGTTTCAGGTATCTCGGTCTGAAAATAAAATAATTGTGAATAATAAATCACAAATCAGTTCACATTTTGAAACAAAACACTTATTGAGAATATGATGTGGAGATTTGTGTGTTAGGCATATATGCTATAAAATCTCACTTGTAAATACTGGGTATCCCAATATACCACATACGTGGAGCTACCGGTTTTCTGCAATGAAAATAAGCACACTGTAGTTTAGTACGTTTTACATAAAAATGGAACCTAAACGAGCATTTTTTAAGCAGTTATCTTGTACCCAATACGAGGAAGTATGTACTCAATAAAA